TCCATTAGCTCCTCAGGAGAAAGACCAGACCGTCTGCTCCCGTGAAGACTGACCGCCTGGGAGACCCCCAGGGGCAGCTCCGCCCTGTCCTGCAGGGTCGCCGTGAGCCGGCGTCCACTCGAGGGCAGGGAGCGTTGTGATTTGCGGACATATACAAAATATTCGCTTCCCCAAGCTCCCTCCTCTCTGTTCCTTGAAACTTCAAGGGCGGCGAGTGCGACCCCAGGGCAAGAGTTGGCTTTGATCGCGTTTGGTTACAATTATTTTCCGACGTCGGCTTCCCCATCTCTTAATCGTCCAGGGCTGCGCTCACAGGATGCCACAAGGGGGTGGCTTTGTCAGACAGACGTTTATTTTCTTACAGTTTAGGAGGCTACAAGTCTGAATCCAAGTGAAGACTCTCTCTCTCTCCGTGGGCTCTGGGGGAAGGTCCTCATCTTGCTCGGCTCCTTCCTTTCTTTCCGTGTAATCCCTTCGTGGTCTGTGGCTCCCCTCTGAGCTCCCACTTGCCCCGTCTGCTGAGTGACGTCACAATGGGTGTCTCAGTTACAGAGGAACCAGAAGGGGGTGGCTTTGTGGAACAGAGAGTTATTTTCTCACAGTTTGTTTTCTCACAGGCTAGAAGTCTGAATTCAGCCACCAGCTCTAGAAGAAGATAGTCTCTCTCTCTCTCTCTCTCTCTCTCCCTCTCTCTCTCTCTCTCTCTCTCCCCCTCGCTGCCCTCTGGGTCCCTTTCAGCTCCTGGGACCTCAGGGATTGTCACACCACACCTGTATCTCCCGGATCTGTCTCCTCTCTCTGGGTCTCATCTGCTCCCTTTTGTAAACCTCAAAATGGATGGGCTTACACACACCCTACAGAGCTACGGGTTCCTGCACATGAGCAAGGAAGCCCAATTCCAAATGGAACCCTGTCCACAAGTATGACCCACAATCATGGCCACCGAGTGGACGCTGGCTCACGGCGACCCTGCAGGACAGGACAGAGCTGCCCCTGGGGGTCTCCCAGGCGGTCAGTCTGTACAGGAGCAGACAGTCTGATCTCTTTACCAAGGAGCTAATGGATAGAGAGATATGCAGATAGACAGATAGATAGATAGATAGATAAATAGACAGATGATAGATAGATAGATCGATAGGTAGATCGATGACAGATAGATAGATAGATAGATAAACACACTGCCATCGAGTGGACGCCGGCTCACGGTGACCCTGCAGGACGGGGCAGAGCTGCCCCTGGGGGTCTCCCAGGCGGTCAGTCTTCACGGGAGCAGACGGTCTGCTCTTTCTCCCGAGGAGCGGCCGGTGGTTTCAAACTGCTGACCTTGTGGTTATTCAACCAACCCAATAGCCCTCTGCCACCAGGGCTGTATCCATCATGGCACGCCCGCTGCTAACTGGGTCGCATTTTCAGCACACCCAGGCCAGGGTGGCACAGGTGGGGGCCAAGGGAAGAGAGCAAGTTCACTGCCCCGCACCCTGGCGCTGCAGGAAGGGCCCCTCCCCCCCTCCCTCAGCACTGGGGTGTCGACCGTGAACATTGATGCTGTGTCCCCTCAGATGGCTTTTCGGACGCTGACCTTTACGATGGAATCCCTGGTGGTGGAGGAG